TCATTGGTGCCGACGAGACGATAGTCATTCGCTGCGACGCTGTGGCGGTGTTTGGCGGCTGCAAGGGTGTGCTGCTTGGGTCTTTCACGATCGCGTCCAACACGCCGCCTGCTGTTGCCAGCGCCCTCTCGGCGATCACCGGCGTTGTTGCGGGTGCGACGGCTGTTGCCGTGGTGGTGACCGGCGGGCTGGGCTCCATCCTGGAGATGCAGGCGCTCGGCGTGTTTGCGAGGATGTCATGCGCCTCGGCGCAGGAGCGTGCGAGCACCGTTGCGCTGCCGTACTTCCTGTCGGTGTTCGCTGCCCTTGATCCGCTGTGGATGGTGGTGGGCAACGCGCTGCTCGCCGCGGTGTTCGGCTGCGTGCACTACGGTGTGACGGCGGCCTTCCAGCGGTGGCGCGGCGTGGACGCGGCGAGTGCGTGGGCGGCGATGCGCTTCCCGAGCCTGACGTACGTAGTGGCGCACGCGATGCACCTCGGCATTTTCTTCGGCTCCGTGTTTGCAGTGGCGATGCCCGGTGCCCGCGCGCAGCACTACGTGATTGGTGTCGTTGGCGTGCTTTACGGTGTGGCGTTCCCTGCTGGCGTGTGCTACTTGATTGCCCGCCACACGGGTGCGAGCTTTGCGAAGTACTGGCAGTTTTCGAGGAAGCCGCTGCACGAGCGCCTGCTGTACCCCGTCGGGTATTGGTACCCCGCGGCGCAGCAGCGGATGTACTGCGGCATGCTGACGAACATGAAGGGCAACTACGTGTACTGGTGCGTGTTCCATCTGTCGGTGCTGTGTGTGGTGGGCCTGATTGCTGCTGTGCACCCGCCAGTGGGAGTCTGCCACGTCCTGTACTTCTGCATGGCGGCTGTGCTGCTTGCGGGTGCGGGCGTGGTTGCCTTCACGAACATGATGCGCTCGGCCTTCCTGACTGTGATGCGCACGGCGAGCTTTGTGCTGCTTGCGGCGCTGTGCCTGACCAGCGCGGCCAACCATCTTGCGCCGAGCGACGGCGGAGCGAGGGCGTACGCGGCACTTCTGATGCTGCTGACCACTGTGCTGCTTGCGGCCACTGTGTACTGTGCGGTTGTGTGGTACGTGGAGGACCGCCACTGGCAGGAGCTGCGCGAGCCGCAGCGTGGAGGGCTGGATGCGCTGCTGCGAGATGACGAGGAGAGCGACGAAGAGTTGCGGAAGCACCACGACAGGACATCATCGTCGTACGCTTCAGGCAGCGCCGGCGCGTCGTCGTACCGACCACCCGCACCGCCGCAGTGGGAGCGCATCATTGGTAGCAACGAAGGCAACCCAGATACCATTGACCGTCAGCCGCAGCCACTGGCAGTCGACACCCACTCCAACGCATTAAGCTTCGTGGACCGTGCATCAACTACACGTGGGAGCGTGAATCACGCTATCCTGTGACATGCGCCACGTGAAGGTTGTGTGCGGTGCTGGCCGATGGGGAGATGGCGCGGGGCCACGGCTTCTGCGCGCCACGGCCAGTCATTGTATGGCGCCTTTCTATTGTCTTTCTTTTCTGCCAGTGTTGGCTTGACTGTCTTGTATGTTCTGGATAATGTGTGTGAAGTTTTCATCGCCCGAAGTTCTTACTTTGCTTAACTTAACTGCGCTGTGCTGCTTGTTGTAATTATTTCTCGTTTCTTTTGCCACTCCGTGATCCGCCACCACTGCAGCTGCTGCGTGTATATCGCTGCGTGGAAGTGGCGGGTGTGCGGTGCTGGCCGACGGGGGGAGATGGCGCGGGGCCACGGCTGCTGCGCGCCACGCCCAGTCATTGTATGGCGCACCAACAGTGTCGTTCATTTTTGTTTTCATTGGCGCCTTTCTATTGTCTTTCTTTTCTGCCAGTGTTGGCTTGACTGTCTTGTATGTTCTGGATAATGTGTGGAGGGACTACGCACTTGGGTGTTGGACCCCGCTGCGTGTATTTTGTGTGTGTGTGGCATCGGGTGGTGTGTGCTGTCCCGAATTCCTGCCTCTCTTCTCCTGCCTGTTTTTTTCTTTCCGGTGTGGCACTGCGGTGCACGGGCGAAGTAGTCGGTTGGATCCTTTTGTGGTGCGTCGCGTCTCACGCTTTGCTGCGCCGTTGGTTTGTGGGGGAAGAAGTTGTGCCACGACGCGTGGGCATGATGCCAGCCGCACAGAGCGCAAGGAGGACGTTGTGACGCCGTGGGGTGTTGCCGCCACGGGCCCGAGGGGTGTGGACTATGACCGCGTCCTCGCACGATTCAGGTCGGAGCCCGTTGATGAGCCCCTTCTGCAGCGGCTGGAGGAAACATGCAACGGACGGGGGGAGCACGCGCAGGCAACCAGCACCGCACAAGAGGAGGCGGGACGAATGGCATTGCACCATTTTTTCCGCCGCGGCATCGTCTTCTCCCACAGGGATTTTGGAACCGCCCTTGACTGCGTGCGTCCTTTGCGACGGGGACACACCGCGCGTACTTGTACACTGGTCGTGGACCGAGCGCGCAGTCGATGCACATTGGCCATGTCATGCCGTTTTTATTGACGCGGTACCTGCAGGATGCGCTCGGTCTTCCGTTGGTGATCCAGATAACCGATGATGAGAAGCACTTCTTCCGCGACATTCCCGTCAGCGGGGAGAAGGCGAGCGGGTTGGTGGTGGAGAACATAAAAGACATCATTGCCTTTGGCTTCGATCCACGCAAGACATTTATATTCCGCAACACGATGTACATGGGGGACATGTACCCAACTGTCGTGCAGGTGCAGCGCATGTTGACGCTGAGCGCTGTGAAGAATGCATTTGGCCTGAAGGATAGCGACAATGTTGGAAAGGCAGCCTTTCCAGCGGTGCAGGCCGCACCGCGTTTTAGCAGTGCCTTCCCCCGTGTGCTACGACGGCTAGCTGGGACCCGCCGCTGAAGTGCATCATTCCCTGTGCAATTGATCAGGGCGCTTTTTTCCTTCTGGCACGCAACGTCGCGCCGCGTATGAAGTGCTGCGCCCCCGCACTGCTGCACACAAAGTTCCTCCCCGCACTGAAGGGAGCGCAGTTCAAGATGAGCAGCAGCGCCGAGGGGAACGGAGTCATCACACTACACGACACGGAGCAGGAGGTGCGGAAGAAGGTGCGCAAGGCCTTCTCTGGTGGGGGTGGCACGCTGGAGGACATGCGTGCGGAGGGTGTCAAACTGCACGCAGACGTGGCG